ACTTTAAAGGAGTGGTCGTTGGCTAGGTTGTGTCCAGTGTCCAAAAGATGTTTGGCAAAATGGGATTTATCGGGATTGCAATTCCTGTACGCGGCTAAATGCTCTTTATAACGTGTCTCGAAATTGCGACCAGTCTGACCCACGTAAACGGCGTGGCATTCGTCACAAACAAGTTTGTAAACACCTGACTTTTGACGAATATCTAACTTATCTTTACTATTACAGATATTTCTAAGAGAATTGTTTGTTTTGAACGCCACATGAACGCCGTTTTGTCGAAGAGTATTAGCTACTTTTTCAGATATGGGGCCTAAGTAGGTCAAACTGCTCACATATCGATGAACACTTTGAGGTTGAACCGCGTACAGAGAGTTGCGAATAACATGCTTTTGTTTCTTTTTAATTAAATTGTTAATGAGATTTTTTGAAAAACCGTTAGAGACCGCTATTTGATAAATTATATTAAGTTCTTTTAAATAATTTTCTTTACTTAATGGGACAGTGAACAAACGGTTAATGTAACAATAAAAAGCGGCTACTTTATGTTGCCATGGATGACATGATGACGCGGGGATGACCGTGTCGGTGTGAGTTGGCTTTCGATAAATTTGGAAAACATGTGACGATTCTTTTCTTGTTATTGTTAAGTCAAGAAAATTAAGGGAACAATCTTGTTTCCAATTCAAGTTTAAATTTAATTTTGTCATGGACTCTATTTATTTTATTGAGGAAACATCCAGTTGTCTCCTTGTGCCAGTCCAGCAAATAATTATGTCGTCTACATATCGATAGTAATATAAGATATTTTGATTCACAACTATATGTTGTTTTTCGAAATTATCCATGTAAATGTCCGCCATAAGGGGACTTAGAGGGGACCCCATAGCTAACCCTTCTTTTTGTAGATAGAAACGGTTATTAAACCGGAAATAGTTTTGTTTCATACAGAGAGAGGTTAAGTTAAGAAGATCATTTGTTTCCCCGGGATGTAGACGGACGTTTTTCAAAGAGATCTGCGAGTATACGCAAACAGTCAGGGGATGGGACATTTGTGAAAAGACTATCAACGTCTAAAGATAACAATATGGATTTAGGAGGAATACGAATATCTTTAATTTTGGAAATGAGATCTAAGCCATTTTTTAGGCTGTAAGTGGGTTAAATCCAGATTTCTCTCGAAGGAGGAAGTTTAATTTTTTAGCAAGGAAATAAGCTGGTGCACCAATATATGAGACAACTGGACGAATAGGAACATGTTCTTTATGTATTTTTGGTAACCCATATAAAATGGGTGCTTGAGGATTCATTGGAACAAGATTGCTCCGAGACAAGTTGTGATCGGAAAAACATATGATGACTGTTGTATACATAACTTAATATCCGAAGTAAACTTTTTGGTGGGTCAGACTCCAATAGCTCAAAGTCATCACCTTGGATAACATCGTTAACTTTCTGGCTGTACCCACTACTCTCCATAATAACAACAGTATTGCCTTTATCGGCTTTAGTAACAATAAGGTCGTTTTCCCTTATTCTCTGCTTTAGAGACTTAAAAACAGGGAACTCAGGATTGAAATGGGAAGACGTGGGCACAGCCCGAATTTCATTAGCTACCAAACTTTTAACGATGTTATCTTTCTTCCCGATCACAACAGCCACCTCCGCGTCAACAGCCATAGTCTCTAACGATTTTTGGGAGACCGAAGGTGTTAAATTATACTTTAGGCCTTTATGTAAAAGAGACCACTCATCTGTTGGAAACTGGACATCGGAAAGATTTTTAACTCGGGGATAAAATTGGTGATATTCTGTATGTATGTCGTTATTACGATTACGGGATGAAGAGGATACAAGTCGTTGTAATTTACGGGACTGAATTTGATATTTCTCATAAACAGCCATTGAAGCAAGTTCTCTGGCTTTCCATCCAAAATATCAAATTCAATATTATGTAATTTATATGAAAGTTCAGAGTATAATACTTTAAGGTGGATTTTTAAATTATCTCTATTGGAAAACCAACGACGACACTCCTCATTAAGCCAAATGTTCTGAGCTTTAGAAATAGCAATACTGGCCGCTCGACTATTTGTGCTGGAACGTATTTGAATATAATTAGGAATAACATGAAGTTGTTTGCACTGCTGATTGAACCAAACATTTTGGGCAGCAATACGATGGAGTTTTGTTAATTTGACATAGAGTCTTGCCTGGTCGGCCGTGCTAGCCTTTTTAATATAATTAATAGAATCAGGCGTTACTTTGCGGAAATCCATTATATAAAAGCTTTTTACAAAAATTTACTTCGCAAATATCCGCGTTATAAATAAAATGATGTGTCTTACCTAGTATGAAGAAGCACCTCCCGCCCTCCCTCAATTGCGTGCACTAACCCCGTCACCACTAATCCCAGCACCGCTACTTCCAACACCACTACACTAGGCAAGACACACCACTGACGATAATACGACACGTGTTTCGCCTCTACACGAGGCATCCTCAGGTGATATAGACTCTACGGTGGCTAACCGCTAAGTGAGCGGCGAGCCAAAACAAGTGCCTTTTATACAAACCGATGATGCAACCGCTCTCTACCTAACGAGCGAGCGATTGCGTCATGCGATAAAACATGCGACCAATCACCGCTGGACTTACGCATCCGTTTGTAAAATTAAAAACAAACCGCCGCGCAACGCCCACATTATTAGTGAGCAGGCTTGAAGATATTTAAGAGAGGTGAGTTAGTAACATTTGTTTGTTCATTCAGCAATGCAACGGTATTATTATTACTTTTTAATATCTCTAACTGTTCCAGCACACACAGACGCAGCCCTTTATTACAAAGTCTCTAACGGTTTTTCAAAAAATCTCATTAACAATTTAATTAAAAAGAAACAAAAGCATGTTATTCGCAACT